ACGCCGACGACCGTACCAGGCCCCTGTGGCAATGGCATAGCGATGACGGGCCGCCGAGCGGTTTGACGCGAAGTCTTGCGAGCTTGACACACCAAACACGCTCGAAGCCACCAGCGCACGGAACGATCCAGACCAATCCACCAGTAGAAACGCTCAAGCAGACGGTGTGTACGATGAACACCGAGATGGAAGGACGCGGCGGTATGGCAGGCATGAAGGACCCACGGACGCATCAGCATGGGCACGTAGACACGGGGCACACCAGTATCCGGTAGACGAGTGGTCCTGCCGCCAGAGCGCTCGATCGGCGAAGGCGCCGATTTATGTACGAGGAGGGTGACGTTATCATCGGTCGTGTGCAGTCTGGTTTTCGCCGCCAACGCAAGTACATCGTCCAACCTAGGGGAGCGGAGCGGGGCACTAAGGGTGAGCAAGTCAGAAGGGGGTGGGGAGGGAGAGCCGCGAGACAGAAAACGCATAGCCACCACGCATTCGCTCTCCCGCTGTTGCTCCCTAGCCCAATCCACCGTGCTGAAGCTCTGAACACAAGCTCGCAAGTGTGAGGGGTCCAAGTCAGTCGGCGCCAACCTAGAGTCAGGCAATCCCACGGAAGAAGCTGTAGAACGAGGAGCCTCAGCGACTGGTGAAGTTGCAGACAGCGGGGTCGCCCGCGAAGGAGGCATCGGGAGGGGCGAAGTCCCAGGCGAAACCTGCATAGAGGGCAAAACCGAGGATGCAGGGCGCTCCGATGCCGGCGAAGGCACCGATGGCGCAGAGGCAGTCGACGAAAACGCCGACATTGGCGTCGCGGATGGCGGCAGGAGGCGCGCGCCGGTTCGGATGGTCTTGTTTGTCGAGCGGGACCTGCTAGGACGACGGGCAGTTGACGATGCCCGAGGGACGATGGTAGCCCGCGGCTGGCGTCCGAAATAGGTGGGACCGGTGACGGTGCCTCCGGAAGCAGCGGTGGTCTTGGCCCGAGTTCGTGAAGAAATGAGCGGTCCCCGCTCCGGAAGCGAAGACAGGACGTGCACATATCTAGTCGCCACAGACGCGGCAGGAGATATCCCGCGGGACGTAGCTGGAGCCAAAGAGGAAACAGGCACCGGAGACCCGGGAACATGCGAGACCACGAAGACTCCCGAAGACCTCCGAGAATCCTTGTAAGCAATCGGCGAGTCCGTTCGAACATCCAGCCGGCTCGGGTGATGACGGCGAAAATCCCCAAAATCGGAGGGCTGTAGCGCTGGGGGCGAAAAGACTCCCGCCGAGCAGGGAGGGCGGAGCCCACCCAAACCGACCTCCGGTGTAGACGACGAGTGATAGTTGAGTCCACAAGCCCGAATGAGGAAGACACCCGCTTGATCGACACCATCAATGCAATCGGGGCCGGATGTGTCCGTGTCTTGCGCTGGTAAAGGCAGCCGCGAAAGGAAATCCGCGTTGTTTGTAATGCCGCTGACGCCAAGTTTCAAGGAGGTGAAGCCGTGGGCGGTAGCTTGCTCCTAGAGATAGATGAAGGTAGGTTCTGTCGTTGACACGCTTGTCCACGACCACGTTGAGATGGGAAAGTTGCTTGTTATTGCTGAGAGACGATCAGCAAGGGTCTGAGGTGAAGTGGGGATCCAACTTCACCTCAGAGGGTACGACAAATCCTAAGAGGGTAGGTGTCTGAAGGGTATACCTCCTGGGACCGACCCACATCCTATCAACAATAAGATATACCCTATTTAAGCTAGCAGCCACACTCCTTAACAGTATGGACATCATCTGCATAGCACCCTCTACTACCGCGGTATGCACATAATAAGTTACATGAGATATCACACCCCCTGGACAGGTTCTCAAAGCTCGATTACTCGGCCGGAAAAGCAGTTTTGGTGCCCGAAATTGCGGGAGGCCTTGAACTGTCTATTAGTCGAGGACTTTCCGAAAACGCACCCTTTGATTTCGGCGTCTATCTTCGTCGTGGAGAAATCAAGCTTCGAAAATCGGTTGTGGGGGTGTGGTATATTCCGTATGCAACCTGGTAGTTAGGCCGAGAGGCTGGAGTCCGTGAATCCTAACATGTTGTGTTGACCACAATGGCCGCCACCTACTATGTAGGTTTTAGAATACCGTAATTGTGCGTGTTATGGCACCCATCGTTGATTTCGCACTCATCGGTGTTATGGCACCGGGGTGCGCAAAAATATCGAGAACGGCATTATGTATTTGCATTTCCGCACCTATCGGTGTTGACGCACTCGGTGCGACATCAGCGATAATAGAACTTGCTTCTAGGACGTAAATTTGAGTGCTTCCGCAAGGTACCGGAACCCTCCGGGCCACGTGTCAAACTGTGTGTAGCGAACCGCTGGGGCGCCATTCCCTTCATGTGTATACAATACATCGTACCGTCGATCGGTAGAAATGATACATGTTTCCTTCTACGGTAATCCGTACTCACTCGCTCAACTACTGTGAAGCACACAGAACACACCCCGCACCGCACTTCCATCCAACCGAACAAGAAGGAGTTCGTAAACGGTACTAAAATTGCCGGTACCATTCCCCTTGAGGCAGACAAAGACAGGTGGAGCACCAGCCAACAAATGAGGGGCTTGCGACCAACAAAGAGGTTGGAAGAAAAACGATGCCGTACTGTATACCTTTCCCAGCAGGGAACCACAGCGTCTGTTGTCTTTGGCATATGCTACGCCATCAAACTCGCACCAGCCGCTCATGTTAAGTACCGTAACACGAATAATGGCGGTACTCGTACCAGGAGACGCCTGTGTTCGTTTCTTGAGTATTGCACCAATCGGTGTATCGCACCGGGGTGCGTTCACTCAGCACCGTAAAATGGCCACTGCGATTTCTCCCGTACCGCATCCATCGGTGTTATCGCACCGGGGGTGCGTTGGAAATCCAGAACGAAATTATTTAATTGCATTTCCGCACCGGTATCGGTGTTGTGGCACCCATCGGTGTTTTGGCACAGGGGTGCGATAAAAAACCGAGATAGGAAAGATTTAGAAGAACGATCGCACCCCGGTGCCATAACACGCACAATTACGGTAGGTGTTCTCAAAAGCGGGCTCACTATTATGGATGCTCGAGAGCTTGCGTTTTGATATCTGCGTTGAGCATGAAGAGTTTCTTACCGCTATGTTTTAGTGCGCGGGCGCTACATATATCTACATACCTATAGATCAAACTGCCTTTACCGGCGAGCAATACTCTGCTGCTGCGATTTGCTGCGGTAGAGCCCCCTCCATTATATCTGTCTTCATGTTCTTTGTCCGTCGCGTGCAACAATGCGCACACCACCCCCCTCCCAGAAAAACTTAGATTCCAATCTTAGCAGAAGAGCCAACCTTCTCCTGCCGGTGCCCCCCCCGCTGTCCGTGACAGGATACTTGTACTGGTCACCACCAACAACAAGGCCGAGTGAAAGGATGGGCAGCTTCTCCATTTTGAGCCTCGTAGTGCTCTTCTGCCTCATCCCTAGCTGCCTCATCCTGCTGTGGTCTTCCTCCCAGACGGCTGGTACGTGGTGGGAGGCCACCGCCGCCGCCGTCTATTCGCAGAAACGACCGGCCGGCTTTTTCACGGGAGGATCTCCCCGCGGGAACAACAACGGCCCAGCTCTGCCTCACGGTCACGGGTACGCGGACGTTATTGCTGTCAATCGATAATTTCTCTTTGTTGTCTTATTTTCCATCGCTGCAGAACAGATACCTACGTTTTCAAGAAAGGATATGCACAATCCTACATGTCATGCACCATCATCACGGGATAGACCTTCATCTTAGAATTGTAAACTCTCAGGTAGCACGTCAACACTACCTCGTGGCGGGGGGGGGGGGATACTTCAAGAGAACTTGGGGGGGGTGCAGGGATGACAACTTTTTCGCGTTGGGTGGGACGCTGATGGCCGTACCAGAGAGGATAAAGGAAGGGCAAGCGGAGTATCCAATAGGCACAGATCGAGAGTTCCACCAGCGACACCAGCATCAGCAAAAAATCGTCTGTTCCTCCCTTCTTCGTGCAGACACTGCCATGCTACTGTCCTTCGTCTCTAATAATCCAATCCAGTCTAGTCTAGTCTATGCTGCGTCTGCTACCATGCAAGGACCTCCTAACCCGCCCCCCATCTCTCAACCCCCCCGACGCTCATTTTCCCATCTGACTCCTATGGCACCTGGCTCTCCAAACGGTACAGCGAGGAGGCCAGTCACCATCTTCCGTCGTGGTTGTTCTCCGCCTCTACCGCTGCTTGTCCCGCTGCTGGTGCTGGTGAGTATCATTTTCATCGGGGTTTTCACGAGGAAATCAGTTTTTACTGTAGTGTTCGGTTTCCTTGTGAGAGCAGACGGCTCTTCTCCTGTTGTTCGGGTCATCTTTTGTCATTTTTGTCGATCTTTTGATTCTTTGGTAGTTGTTTTGCATACATCTCGCTGCCATTCAGTAGTTTCAGTATACATTTTTTGCCCACCTTTGTATAGAGGACGCACATTCGATTTGCTGTGCAAGTTTGGAGGTCAAGCCTGCGACCCGCGATTTTTTTTCCTTCCGTCGCCAGGATCTACGGTGAAATAGGCGGCTCCTTGATAATCCGAAGGACATGAGCACCAATGGCCTTAGACCAGTGAGGTCTCTTTCGTTGTTGACAGCCCCCCGTTCGTGTACGCGCATCCTCGAGCGTGCTTTGCGCCCTGGGATTTTTCCTACCACTCCTCCCTTGCACATGGATCAGAGCGTCATCGTCGTAGCGAAGATCGATTTTTGTGGGCAATTTTGCACGTAGCACACCGCACGTGCGGTAGATGAATGAAAGGTTGACAATTTACACAGCAGACTCCACTCATAACGCCGCTACGACCTCCCGCACACATGCCTATGGATCGCGTACTATGCATGGGTTGGTACTACTGTTGTTACCAGGCGAGGCTCCCGCTTCCGGCTGCATTAGCTGCCAGGGAGATGGCCGAGACCAAGCCACCTACTGGCTGCTCATGTGGTTGAGGACTTGCGCCTTGGCGAATTTTGTGAGTTTCGACACAACAATATTTTTCGACGTTTATGCTCCGCATTTACTTCGCACCCAGCGAGAGCAAAAATCACGCATATTCTTAGTGGGTGCACTTTCGCATACACTTGACCAAGCCATATTTCGCCAAAAAGGGAGGCGTGCACTGCGGAATTTGGCATGTTCTTCACGCCATCGGCTCATCTGCAGAATGATGCCTGTCTGCATGCCAGTGCTGTGCATGCTACCATCAGGTCATCCGGGACGGGGGGATACCTTTTTGTTTTGCTCTCGGGAGGCTGTTGCCCCAGACTAATTTGGGCACGCTCAAAAAATCTCTCTCAATACGTGGGCATGGACATCTGAACCCACGCATGTGCCTGATCATCATCCCAAAACATGTTTGCACGCTTCAAAGTGCTCTCATCACGTTGGCATGGACGTCTGAACCCACACATACATGTGCCTGATTATCAGCCCAGAATATGTTTCCACGCTCTCTCTCGAACCGTTGGCATGGACATCTGAACCCCACACACGTGAATGCTCATCTGCCCCGGGAAATGTTTGAAAGCTCGAAAGCCTCTTGTTTTTTTGCATGAGCGCCTACAGTAGACCCACGCATGGCCTTACCATCATCGGCGACTCTTCTAGCCTATACTTGCTCGCGTGCTTGTGTTCGTCCGTGTGCTGCAAAAGCTGGGGCGATGCGCGAAGCTCGCGTGGACCGTGTTCGTGCTGATGGTGCGGAGACAATGGGAGGCGAAGAGGAATGCGCTCCCCGGCCCACCCGCACCGGTTTTGGGAGACGATGACGAGGAGGGGGCTCCGGCGAATGTCGCCGAACCGGAAGCAACGGTTCCACCGCCGCCGCCGCAGGGAACGGAGAACGTTCCAAACGCCGCGGGTGAAGCTGCAGGAACTGGGGTCGAGGTGGAACCGTCGCGCATCGTCGCCGCGACGGTCTCCGGTTCCGCCCTTCTTCTCAGCCTCGTGCCGCCTCCCCCGTTGTCGGCTAGGAGCATCAGCGCCCCCGCGCGGCTAGTCTCCACGCCCGTTGTTGTTGCCGCCGACAATATTATCTCCGGAGATGTCGGGCCCGCCGCCCTCGCGTCGGCTACGTCGAGGGTAAGGGCCAGTACAATTGAGTATCTCTAGTACGCCACCGCATGCATCATCATCGACAACGGCAAAGGCGGGGGACAGCAGTTCTGCTGCTACACCATATGGTGGAGGCTTTGCAAAGGAGGTACGGCGACAGAGAGACACCGCCGCCCATTTCGTTGGGGCTGTTTTTTTGGCTCTTTTGGAGATACCTCTTTTGTTTGGAAACATGGCGACCACTTGGATAGTTCACGTGGTCCTTGTATGTTTCAACATGGTGATACAACATGGTGATAAAATCAGAAATGGTGGCGCCGTAAAGTCTGTACGCAACCACAGCAGCCAAGACCGCGACCGGTGTGGCGTATTAGATTGTCATTTCGAACGTAAGAATGCTGACTTATGCCTGAGGGAGGAGGGTGTCGAGGAGTGGGGTGCTCGTTTTGCCACGTGCCGCCGGGGGGATGGATGCTGATCAATTTTTCGTTCGAGGCTATCTTTCCGTTGTTGTTTTTTTCCGTGCTCGATGATGACGGACGTAACCCGCCGGAAGCAGCAGGCGACAGACGGGTCTGTCCGTGTGTTGAACACCACCACCTTAGGGGACACGTTCTGAAGAGAACACGTTGTATGCGTACTGCAGTTAGGCACCCGTAGAGGAATTGTAACCGTCCCCGTGTTGCTGAACCGTTGGCATGCCAGGCTCGCAGAGTCACCCCCCCCCGCACAGAACTCCACCCTCCCCTGCCCCCGTTTACTGTAGGCCAGCCTACGACCGCAGTTCTTCATCTTGTGTGGGAACACGCGTGACCCATTGCGCGTTCCAACACTCGAAACTTTTCGAATGTACGATAGAGTGGCGGATGTTGTGAAACGCGATCGGGCTCTCCCCACATTTTGTAGATGGTCACTTGCCGATGTCGTTGGTTCGTGTATGTAGCTATCTCCGTTGGTCTTAGCTCTTCGCACTAGGAATAGTTGTGGAGAGTGATCGCGTGCGAGAGGCACATGTAGAAAAACATAAATTAAAATTCTCTTTGTTTTTCGTTGTTTGTGTGGAAATTCGCACTGCCTCTCATACGGGATGCTCTGCTTGTGCACACGTTCTGTTGGATTTTTGGTTTTCTTTGTTCAGTTTTTGTAGAAAACATTTTCGTGAGTAGCATTATTCTTTTTTTCCGGGATGTCTTTGCCTCCTGTTTGGTCACATCACAAAGTGGGTGTAGGTTACAACAGAGGCGTGGAAATTTTTTGTTGTTGGTTTCTGCGGGGATCTAGGTACTGCGAGGTCTTATGTTGTGCAGATAACTATTTTGTCCGGACAGCGGGGACAAACTAAAGACGAGACCTCCAGCAGAGTACCTGTTAGAGAGAGGTCGAACTGAACAGAACAGTGGTGTTTACAGCTGAAGAATGAATACTTTTGAGCAACGAAAAATATCTGGTGGCTCTTCTTCATTGGGTCTTCATTTTCACTTGGTATCGTGGAGGGTGTTGAAAGCCATATTTTGCAGTGACTGGGAGAGAAAACGTGCTACGTGTGTTTTACGAGCAGTATTCGTTGGTTTCGGAGTCAAGCAAGTGGGCAGGGAGGCGGTGATTTTTTGGCAAGTCGGCTCGTATATAGGCTCTCGTGTACAGGCAGGCACCCGCAACAATTTTTTTGGGCTCAGGCAACATCCAAGGCATTTATTTTTTGGTCTGACCTACAATGCCATGGCTGAGATGCCTCTGATACACGCGTAGACGTTTGCCTGAAATAAAACCTACAGCCTATTGTACCTGGGAGCATTTTCCCGAGCATAGTGACGGGTCATCGGGCTTTTCGTCGTGGCTTTTCTCCGTGCTCTGCCTGGAAACATGCTTACTGTAGGTGACGTAAGATACCACACCCCCTGAACTGATTTCCAAGCTCGATTTCTCATGGGCAGACAGGGTGGCTGGAGCCGGAAATGGCGGCGTCGGAACCCTCTCGTCGAGAGATTTCCGAAAACATATGTCGTCTGACTCATACATGGTCTTCGTCGTGGAGTAATGGAGCGGTGAAAATCGATCCAGGGGGTGTGACTACATATCTTTCGTATACAACTTGTGCGTTTCAGGTCTACACTAGGGAGTAAGCCAGGCAAACAACACCGTCTCGGCAAACATTGGATAGAGAAACGTCCCCCCAGACAGCAATTCAGAGAGCAGGTCTGGCAGACTTGAGAGGGTTGAAAAAATATCCTCTCAGCAGGCAAAAACTCAAGGCATGCCTGATCGGGCTGAGCTTACCGGTCAGTTACGGACGTCTGTGAGTCTTGCTGAAGAATCATCGACTATGTACGTACATAGATTGCGCCTCTTGCTGCTGCCGCTTCTCTTGCCAAGAGTGGCGTTTTATCTATCGTCGCTCCCTGCCATGCTGTCGTCGATATCACCAGTCGTATCCTTCTTGTTGCTCCTTCGGGGTTTGGACGGGGACGTGGAGATGGACACCCGTGGATGTTGGCAGCAAAAAAAATATGCTGCTGGATCTGTGGAGTTCGGCGCAGCCGCCGGTTGCGGTTGACAGTCCCGTGCACAAAAATGGTTGAATGGGAAGGTTTCTGGAGGGTTCGGGAAAGTTCTAGATGGCTCTGGAAGGTGCTTCGTTTCAGTTCTTTCACAAAGCGGGTGGGCCGATGAGGTCCAGACTTTTGGAATAGATTTCGCTGTTCGCTGCGGTGTCCTCGAGCCCACCGTGTATTATTCAGCAGGCAGAGTAGTTGTACACAGGAAAGGGGAGAGCAGCAAGGAGAGAGACGGAGAGAGGCGGGGAAGAGAGGCAGCGAGAGCAGAAGCATCGAAGGATGGCGCAACAGAGTAGCGGGACACTAGCTCGCCGCACCGGTGAGTGATCAGAGAACAAGAGTTATGGTCACCCGTTGCAGCCCATCCCCCCGGACTGCTGAAGTGTGTGCTGCATTCAGCTCGCAACAGGAAGAGCAGAGGTTTGGCTTCGGTTCCGTTTGCGCAAGAAAGTAGCAGTAGCAGTAGCAGTAGCAGGTAAAGAATAGCGGCACCCGTGTACCCGCTAAATATTGCCGCGTACGTATCGTGGTAAAGTGCGGAAGTTACGTTCGGGTGCACACGGGCGACTCACAGCAGAGGAGTAGTGCCATAGACTATGCGAAGGATGCACACACACGCAAAGCTGGCACCGCTAGGTTGACTATGATGCTGCTCTGTAATTGCTTGCGGCACAGGGTGGCGTCGGGAGCTGGGTTCAGTCCCCTTTGTCGCAATGTTCTCTATGTTTTCGTTTTTTTCCCTCATCCTGTTCAGAACATTTAGTCTGTTTGAAATTCTCGTTCTTGGATTGCAAGCCGGACATACATTTACAGCGTAGAATACAGCTGTGGACGCTGCGAGCGTAGGCACCGCCCAGAATAACGGCATCGTGGGGCACGATAATTCGGAGGATGTCCTGCTTGGGGCGTGAGGCGTCGTGCTACCCACCGCGAGTGACTCCGACGCCCTCAGAGCTGCTGCAACCGTCCTATTCAGATTCCCAACATCTGAGCTCTTCCTACACTGCTGTACATTCACCGCGTGTGTCTGGGTGCGCAACAAAATAAATCAGTTGGTTTCAGTTAAATAAGTACGCAGAATAGAAACAGCGGTACCATGGCACCAGGGTAAAGGCGCTGAGGATATATTTCAGAACGGCACCCGTCGGGATTATCGCACGGGGGTCTACGGTACCATAAAAGCGAGAGAAAAATATTATTTTGTCCCCTTCCATTTCCGCGCCCCTGAAGAGTGATGACACCCCCGTCATGCAAGAACGAGATGACTTTCGAGGCCGTTCCCTGGAGCAATCGCTCAGCCTCGTCGCTTTTTCAAACTCCGCAACCGTTGAGAAAACGGGGCGTGTACTGTAGCTCTCATCTACTATATTGTCCATACGCGTACAGCAGTTGAACCATATCGCAGAAGTTCTTCTTTTCCGACACCCCGATTCTCCGCTCGGCTAGTTGTTCGATTGAGTGGCAACTTGCCCGTGGGGTATGTTTGCAAGGAAACACACACGTGTAGCCCTGCTTGCGTGGCTTTGACAATGGTTTGTACAGGAAACAGGGATGCATGCATGCATGCGGTTTGGGTTGTTTGGCGGAACTGTTCATTTTTTTGTGTCCCGCGTCGCCGGCTGTGTTATTGTGTGACCAAGTTCGGCGTCGCGTCTATCGAACAAAATCACGAAACGTTCGTCGCCTATGGATCATGTGGTTGTGTGTTTCACTGCTTTTCACCACTGGACGAGCGAGATATTTTCACCACCGGGAACATGTTCAGGAAAAGCGACGGAAAAATCAAGTTTTTTTGTTGTTCAACTCAAGACGCAGCATCAGAAAGTGACAAGCGATATAGGCACCGACCGTTTGTTTCATGCGGGCTCCACACGCAACTTAATTGTTTGTTTCCAGGCCATGTTTCTGCTTTGCCTGATGCTTCTGGAGCCTGGTACTTTGTGTCATGCTCGTGCGTAGCTATTCGAAATGAAAGGGCAGTAGAATTGGAGGGATGGAGCTGTTTTTGCCGGATGTGGCGAACGGCTGTTGTTGTATTTCCTTCGTTCATGTTCCACACATTTTTTCCCGTGCTATCGAGAACTGTTTTTTTGGATGGAAGTTTTGGGCAAAGGCATAGCGGTCGATACTTGATCATTTCGGACAGGGCTTCGTGTACCCGACGTGTGGACAGGGCTTCGCGTACCCTACATGCTAGGTTGCCGCTCAACTTTGCGGGCTCTTCACAGCATCTGGACTACACTACCCTGTCGCTGCTGCTGCTTTTCCCTTGGCAGCTGTATCTATCAGCATGTGCCCGCATCACACTGGTGTTGAATGAAGCAACCTGGCTTCGAGTACCTCTTTCTTTGTGAAGATATGGGCCGGGTGCGCTGAGAAACATTGTTATTGCCAGGCTGTTGAATGAAGCAACTTGGCTTCGAACACATCTTTCTTTGTGAAGATATGGACCAGGTGCGCTGTGAACCATTGTTATGGCCAGGTATGAATCTTATGGAAATGGCGTTGGCAACCGTGCTGAAGCGGTTATCCTGGAATCTTGGACAATTCTGGAACCAAACAACGCGGAAAACGCCAAGGATCGCCAGAACGTTAATGGACACCGCCGTCGTTCCCAGCCGGGACTTTGAGGGTTCAAGAAACAATCGAGATTGGGAAACTGCTTCAAAGAATCTGGGGCCATCAAGCGTCCGGACACGAGCAGTTAGCTCCTGGAGGTACCGCAACAACCTTAATTGTTCGGAAAGAGCACTTCGCAGATGATGTAGTGTGTTCGTCTCATCTATTCTGGCGCCAGTCTAGTGCATATGTCTGACGTGTCAGTTGGGGTCACACAAGAGGAAGGATACACGGGAGTTTTCCCGTTTTTTTTGTTTTAGTGTCTCACCTTTCTCCCCGTGGTGCTTGCCATAGTTTTGTCGCGAGAAGGGTTCAACCATCCCTTCCCCTCATCTCGACTGTGAAGCCGAAGTGTATGATATGGTGTGACTGCGCGGGTATTATCCCCAGCACGACCGTGCCCTCTCTTGTTTCGCCTATGTAATACGGAACAATGGCAGTGGAGCAGATTCCCACTGCACGGTAGTAGTTGCCCTAGGGCAGTCATGGTGTTGTTGGGTCTTGCTCTGTGCACCCCATGATAAGCACGAACGCCACTCTGCGCAATGATGTAGCCGTGTGTGCACAACGCCTAGCGTTCCCCGGCTGAAAACACGCGAGCGCCGACGCTTACACCTAGCTCCTAGGTACACGGCGGTTGGACTTGTGTTTTCTATTTCCCTGCAGACCATTGTGCCGAATGTGGTCGCAGATGCATGCAGGAGCCGTGGCCGCAGCATGGCACAGCAGTTGTAACGTCAGACACTTTTTTCCATTGGTCCTCGGGGCTTTTTGGCGGCACTTGCTTCGATTCGCCTGCGTACCACACCGCGCCATAGATAGTCGTTCTTGAGAGCTCCCCATACATTCCCGGTGGACACAAGAGTAATGCTGCCTTCTGTTTTGAGCTCGGTCCGATACGCTTACGTTACGAGAGACATCTGTATTCGGAAACGTTGAACCGGGGGGTCGCTTCACGCTTCCTTCCTCGTTTAACTTCAGCTCTCCGTCCCCTCCGCCTGCTGTGTGTGCCGGCGATTCTTCTCTCAGTTATCGCGTCATGCTGCTGGTAGCAACCGCAGCCATCAAACTGGGCTTAGCGGAAGGCACACGTGAGTGGCGAGATTCACGGTGATGTTTTACATGCTGGGAAGAAGCCCCATCATTCGAATGGTTCAAGCCAGCGCCCGGAACTACTGCTGTAGTTTTTGTCATTTACGTGGTGTTTGACCTGGTTTAGGGCAAGTTGGCCAGTGACCGCGGGAATCGACCGCGTCAAGTGGTAGATCAGTACGGACAGATGAAGGCTGGAAGAGAGATCGGAACGGTTTTTACGAATGTGAAGACAAGAACACCAACATGTTTCGGGCTATCTACGTGGGCCATGACATAGTTCGAACGGTTCCTCCTCACCCGCCGTGTTGCTGCTGTTGCTGCCGCTGCTGCTCTGTTGTTCCCTGCCGTGCAGTGCTGTTTGACTTGCCATCGGGGTTGAAGTGCGCGTGGTACAACCTGTCGCACCCTGCCCAGTACGCGGCATTGGTCATGGTGAGTGCGCTCTGTTTTTCCCTTCATGCCGCTGCAGAGCGTCGAATTCCACGGTACACCGCCGTAGGAACGCCCGGCACACGAGATGCTGCCGCTAGAGTGCCGAATGAAACGCGAAGTTGTTCTTGTCCTGAAAGGGAAGGTTGATTAGATAATATAAATATGTGCCAACGCCCCCCCGCCCTCCTCACCTCGCTTGGATGCGCGCACCTTCGGCTCCGGTTTTTCGCAGACGCTGGGATGCCTGTACGGGGTGAACCGGCTTTTCGACAGGCTTGATAGCGCCATGTACGCGCGACTCTCCTGCGCGACGCGCAACTGGATGCAACAGAGGAGGGAGGCGCTCGGGATGTAGGGACAACCGAATCCAGGCTAAGCGACCATGTATAGGCATGTAGACAAGGAAGAGGTGCACGCTGGCTCTGGAGGAGGAACGGGATTCGGTTGTTTTCCGTCAATGCTGCGTGTCGCAAGAGTTGCACATCGTTCGTCACAAGACCGGCTTGGAGACTGGGCGCGGAGAAGCTTGGGTGGTTGGATCTATCCTGCGATGGGCGCGTTCCCGTCAACCAACCAAAAACTAATTGCCACTCGGTTGTTGGCGCTCGAGGGATGTTGTGCCAGTCTCAGGCAGAGTCCTACGTTCATTTGGTTGGAGCAGATGGAGTTGGGGATCGGTCGTTTTCCTTCAATATTGGGGATCGCAACGAGAGTTGCGGATCGTTCGTCAGCAAACCGAGTTGGAGATTGGGTGCGGAACAGCTTGGGTGTGACGTAATTGGAGTTTTTTCTTGAGACGGGCACGTGCCCGGAAAAAGAGCTCAAAACCAATTTGCCACTTCGTTGTTGGCGCTCGAGGGGTGCTTTGCTCGTATCAGGCAGTTTGTTGTGGTTTGTTTGGTGAAAGAATATAGGGTCAGGGATCTGTCATTTCCTTCAATGTTGTTGTATGTTGTTGCGGATCGCGAGTGTTTCTCCTCGTTTGTAAGGAATCCGATTTGGAAATTGGCCGCGGAGCAGGTAGGGTGTGACTCAATCGATCTACCTTGAGATGGGCGCGTTCCCGGGAAGCGACCCCCAAAAACGAATTTCCACTCATCTATTGAGCCTCGATGGGTACTTTTGCCAGTCTCAGGCTGTTTCTTACGGTGCAGTTGGTCGAAGAATTGTATGGAGTTGGGGATGATGCGTTTTGCTTGTAGATTGTTGTTCATGTGGCCAAGAGAAAACAGGACAAATCTATTGCTGCTGCGTGTTTTGCCCCAGCTTTGTGGGACTCGTGCGTGGCCCAACACTCAACAATACGCCCTTCCTTCAACATATTATGCTTCAGGTGGGAAGCAACTCTCGTGACCTCGCGTTAACTGTTTCTCGCCGGGGCAAGCCTTGTGCCTCTCTCCAACACGCGCTTTCCACAGAGGTCACTCTCGTGGAGCAAGAACCCAAATAAATCATTTTCAAACCGCGCCGAAAATCAAGAAAACGCCTTTCGTCTTCGCTTCTATGGATAAGGCGAGTGCCATCTCTGCGGCACGCCTGTGAACAAGTGTATTGTCTCAAACCTCTTGCCGCTATTTTGTGGCGATAGCGCTGGCTGGTCTATACTTTGCTACGCCTTTGGACAAATCACGCATGAAGCGACCCGAGAGGCAAGCCTGGCCGCAGGACACGCATTTTGTTTTTTCCGAAATCCGTTTCAGCCGACCTTTGCGTACCGACATTTTCAGTACTTCCCCATTGGGACGTTCCACGTGTGTCTCCCATGAGCGCCCTATGGGCCGCGTGGGCCTGGCGGCATGGGGTGGTCTGTTGGGACGCCCATGTCATGCATGGGAAAGCACATGAGGTCGTGCGGGACGCCCTATGCGCCCGCCCCGTGGGGATAGTCCATGGGGCCGTTCCAAGCGTCACACCGGCGGCCTCACATTGGACGGGCATGAAAACCGCCTGACACAGCCTGAGGGTAGGCGCGGGACGCCTTAGAGGAGGCCAATGTGACGCGTAACCCCAATCCCCAACCCTAAGGGTGAGCAAACACTGGTAGCCCCAAGCGCCCTACCCATGTTCCTTGCTCGTGGGGAGTGGGGACTGTGCCAGGGACGCCCCGCGAGTCCCATGACAGGTTCCAATATTGTCAGGACCAGATGTGGCTTACAGTAGATTCTTCTATTCGCATCAGAAACCAAAATCTATCCCGGACATACATACGAAAAACATCGGCCCAGTGGTATTGCATCGGCCCAACTGCAGGCGGGCTAAGAGTTCGAATCACGCAACGCTCATGTATTTTTTCCTTTCGCTGAAACAAACAACAAGCCGTTTTTCGTCGACGCGAAAAGCGCGAAATACACACAGGTCTATAGGTATTGTCCACATCACAAATCTCCTCTAACATCAACCATAACAAATCACGCACATCTACCCGCGCTATTTCTATATGTTCCCTCTAAAACGTGCGTCTAGTGGAAGTATGGCCCCCCAAAACAAAACAAAGAAAACGAAACGATATATGCTGCAAGTTGGGGACTTACAAATCAACACCTTGACGCGTGCATTCGCTCGGATCCCAAGTCGCCGATCTCAACAAAGCATCACGTCCCCGTTCCCACATGCACGAGTGTAACGATAATCGCTACGATGCCGACGACCCCAAGCGCGTGCCATGCATCACCACCAAAGCGTTCACGCGCGCCACAAACAGTAGGCATGACCCTAATCTACTTGCAAAAAACGACGAGGGTGAGCATCTTTCTATATATCTGCTGGAGCGAACGCATCCTACAGATGGCCACAAGATGACATGTATTTTGACGCCAAGCAAAACTCACGTAGTAGGGACGGGCGCCCTGATGACTCGATGGTTGTTACGTCAGTCATAATCCACAATCTATTCACGAATACAGTGCCACTCCAGACCGAATTACCCGAGGGGGGAAATTGTACATCCTTCTAGCAGGCCCAAAAACTTGTCATAACACGAGCGCCTGAACTGGCTACGTTGGCAACTTCATGTTCAAAACACGCCTTTGGATCAAGGGATTAAAGAACGTTACGACACCGGAAAATGATGGAACTACGGTAAACACGTAGTCTCGTCTAGCTTAACCTATGTACACGTATGTAGTCGAATATATTGTAGTGTAGTCTATGCGTGTAATTTGATATATTGTGGTAGTCAATACGGGTAATTTGAGTGTGTGTTTCGACCTCCCGCTGACACCCTGAAACGGATCGGGCATGGCGTAAAATGGACACCGGAGACACGCACGAAAGCCCTCCCTTGGAGCTGTCAATTAACAACACACGCGCTACAACCCCTCTATGCACGCAGCTGCTACATTCATGTGCCATCGATATGCTGCGCGAACCCGAAACCTGGACCATCGTGCACTTTCTAGCCCATCCCGTGGAGATATGATGGGGAAATGCTTCACCCCCAACACAGCAGTGCACAACTATCGAATGAGAACTCTTGGAGCCCCTTCCTGGAGCTAGCGCCCAGCTTCTGTTGATATCATGTCCCTTCGACACATGCAGGACGCCCCGGCCTTCTCTTTTCCATCCAGGCGGTGGTGACGTAGGGGCAAAGGCGCGCGTGGACTTCCCTTGGTAGAGCAAGCGTCCAGCTTCCGTTGACATACTGCGCCTTCGACATGTTCGGGACGCCCGCCTTCTTTCTCTTCCACGCAAGCGGCGGTGGCGTGGGGGCAGAGGCCGGCGTGCGAAGCCTTTTCGAGCCTGTCGAAGAGCCGGTTTACTCCGTACAGGAGCGCCGGCATCTGTGCGGCACCGGACGAAGCAAGGCCCGTTGGCTTCAAAAACGGCTCGATTCTTCATGACACACAGTTTGATCACGTTGGACCATGCGCCAAGACCAGTCCTTTCGCCGCTAGTTCGTTTTTTTCCAAATACACGCAAAGGCAGAAAAAAGCATGGAACACGCCGATATAGCGAACAACGAACTGTTGTTCTCAACGGAAACGGAGCTTCAATACAAAGTATGGCGAAGAGAATGGAGACAGCTCAGAGCGTACTCACCAAAATCAGAATCGTGAACTGGACAGGGTGCGGCAGCCCGTACCACGTGCACTTGAACCCCGACGGGAACTCAAGGAGCCCTGGAAGGCACACAATTACATGGCAAACGCCGCCAACAGCAAACAACGCCGTCCGTGGGGTGGAGAAGCAACACTCATCCATGTACGGCGGCCCCGATACGAGACACAAGACACCCACCAGAGCCCTGTGTTCGCCGTAGAAGGCGTGCTACTCGTGGTACGCAACTGTTATCGTTACAGGTACGCCACACTCACTGTTGCTTTCCAGCAGGACCATGTTCAGCGCTGAGGTCGCGAACAGCAGGGCGAAACGACTGTGATGGAATACGACAGACGACGAGCAGGTGCAGAGAGAGAGAGAGAGAGCTCACGTAAGAAAATGACAAGAACACAGCATAGATAGCCGTGGGCATCAACTTACTGCGTGGCGCGGGCGTCTTCGGTTGGACAACGCCCTGACGGCAGGAGAACCCAACGCAGTCGGCAGACGTATGACAGAGAGAGGCATTCGATCAGCTTGAGGGTGGCGTACTGGCCCGTCTTCATACACAACAACGGCGGCCACTCTTTGCTATGCATGCGAATGCGCTCAAATACCATTCATTGCCCCCAGTTGAAACGGTGATGTCGTCAAAGAAGGACCGCAATGCCTGCACGCCCAGCAGCAGCTTGACCGCGAGCCATTCACCCTGAAGAAGGTCCCCCGCACAAGAGGCAGACTGAAAAGTTGCGACGACCAGAGTCTATGTAGATTACTACTGTGTCACAAGTAGTGCAATTTTTCCCCCGATACATGCGATCCTACAATAGTCGTAACGGACTGTGCGTCGGAACTACTGTAGTGAAAGCCGTCCCCAACGATAGATGTGACAGCCAGTCATAACGGGTCGATCGCATGCATCAGTATCTCTCGTGTACCTTCTTCGTAGGACGTTCGTCCTCGGGCTTCGTAGATCTTGCAAGTTCACACCGTAGCTCTAGGCACCTACGTAGAATCTCGAACTACAGCCGTATCGAAGGCGGAAAACCTAGTAACAGGACAGCAGTGGCGGCATTGATATTTTTGGCTACATTGCCCAAACCAGCGTGCCGGGGCTCTCAATCGACGTGGTGTTTGCTTCCGGTACGCGGCTAGTGTTCAGGGCGAGTTTCCAGGGCCACAGGTGGATTGGTATCTGCACAGCGTCGCATTTTAACAGGCAATCAGCATTATTAACAAGAACGAGTCATTGGTGGGGAGTGGTGGGATATCCCAGCGCGATCTTGCGAGGTCTAGATACTGGTGTGGCACAAGCACCCACTTGTCAGTGTTTGGAAAACCGCTTCTTCTTCGGGGCTACACTATGTAGCCTACAGTATGAGCAGCCGAGAGGAGGGAGGAGGGCGGAGGGAGGAGGGAGCAGTTTGTCCCTCGCAAGGCGTATTATATTACCGTCAGCACCCTGTGTGAAACCCCATGGCTGTGAATCATTCATTCCGGACCGGGCGATGTCACGCCAAATAGTAATTTGAACCACGCTCGTTCGCCGTTGTCATTGTACTCTGATCGTGGAGTCAAGCTCACCAGTTGCATTCTGAGGAATCAGTTTCAAAGTCTTGGGAAACAACGAGCTGAGTGCAGAAAACTGACTACTACACTACATGCTCGCGCGGGGTTGAGGAGTACAATGTGTGGTGTGATGCCCGAAAGCAGCTTATGTCAACACATACACACAAAACTTGAAGTACATACAACTTGCAGTTGCCTTTTTATCGCTGCCTCTTTGCTGCTCGAACGGTCCCGTTACCAGAAAGGATTTATCGTCAAGAACAACGATTCGCCCCCAAGAACCGGAGAACAGAATACATTGAACGACGTGTTTGAACAGCGGCACATGGCACTGCCAGAAACAGCCGTACACTCCAGCAGCGTGCTACCGTCGAACGAGCTTGGCCGAACTTGTCGTGGTCGGGTATGGTGTGTCACCGAAATTACAAATCACACCAATATATCCAGTTTCAGAAGGAAAGATCAATATTCCGAGAACCAAGCGCGGATCGGCAAAAAATCGCATACGAGCCCGACGGGCAACGCGCCATCAACAACAATGCGACCAACAAGCGGAGGGGTGTTGACGAGGAAGATGCTCACATTCGTCGGATATGTGGCATGCGCACCCGTATTGTACATTTGTATGGCAGTAGTAGGTTTGAAAGAAGGCCAGAAAAGAGCGGCCAACAATATGAGCGAGTGCTGCTGCGGACAAACGCAGCTGCTGTGCCCGCTCGGCGTGCGTGTGTGCCGCGCGCGCGATTTCCTTGAGCGTTTCACATACATGTGTTCCGCATCGAGAGCACATGCCCCCTCCGACGCAGGTGTGAGACGATCTACGCTCAACGTCTGTCACCGGCGTGAGACTAGTCTTGTGGGATCACGGCTGGTTTGATCAGCTCTTTTTCTCGAGAGAGAGAGAGAGAGAGAGAGAGAGAGATGTAGCGTTTGGCGGTTTCGCTCGCAGTTATTTTTCCGCCCCTACCTCATGCTATGCATAGGTGACATACATACACGACGCATCAGCTCCGGCGGCCAGTACATCTCTCATCTCACCTCTGTCTCTTGTGTGCAACGGTGCACGCGCGGGCGCGGGGTCGGAGGCTATACAGGAACACGCTGATTGCTTCAAGGAGGTTGGATATGTGTGATGTAGGTGGGAGTCGTCTCTCTCTCTCTCTCTCTCTCTCTCTCCCGAGAGGGTAGAATGTGATGAACATAACGCCGTCCCCTTACCGTGCCAGAAGAAAATTCCTTGTTCTGGTTCTTCCACGGGAATATATAAACGTCCCATGGGAACTTGAGAACGGAATGAAAACAAAGCAACATGCAACTTTGGAAACCTTTTCTCTTTCCCCCCCCCCCTCCCCCCCCGTTCTTGTGCGACTCCGCACCCCCCTTGGTGACGGGCGCGAATATTTGCAATCCATGGATTATAAAAGAGAACCACAGTCCAAACATCCGGACGGATCGAAACCCCGGGAAACCGCCCGGAGTGTCCCCGAAGAGGTTCTCCTCTCTCCCTCTCAAATTCAATATTATCTCGGAGCCTGGATCTAACGCCCGTTGTCTTCGGAAGCAGAGCTCTCGTCTGCAGCAACAGCCTCAACAGTCCATACTGCCATACTGGCACATATTTCACGCCAAGGCCACCCTTCGCACCCGGGATGCCCAGGAGACGCTAGGCCTCAGAGGAACAGGAGGACACGACGACACACAACGCCCCGTACTTAGAGGAGTGCTCGTCTCTCTCTGTGTGTGTGTCTATCCGCGTGTGGTGCTGCTGTTGTTGTGCGTTTCTGCTGCTGCAAGCAATTGTTGCTGTAGATTTTGTGAACTACATACAGCAGTATTCTTTTTTTGGTAGATATAACCTGCTGCACGGTGCTGCCGTGATGGATGTCAGTCATCATGGGGCCGTCAAAATCTGTAGGCATCGTTTAGTTCGCACACCGCAGGCCCGCTCAACAAACTCGAGACGCGGCTCACACGGTTTTCTTCGCAGAGCACACAGGTCGACAAGCACAGATAGACGCAGAAAAAAACAAAACAGAACAATCAATATCCAACAGCGATTTGATGATAGACTGACCCCCACCAAAAAAATGAAAGGACCTGGATATGACCCCAACACGGCAAAAAAGGGGGCGGAAGAAAGAAAAGAAAAGGAAATGGAACAAAAGAAATAAAAACAGGACAGGAACCAGATGGCCCCATCGAACGCTACACCGCAACAACCAAATAGACATACAAACACAAAATCGACAACATCACAGACGGCGATCGGCGCAAAAACGCCGAAGCGAAAAATAAACAACACACCGAGCCTTGACCTGCCGCCGGGGGGGGACAAAACATCGTTCAGGCATATGCCCCGGTGACGTCGTAAACCTAGGGCCGCGTACCGCTACTCACGTACCCCAAAGTATGCAACACCGGAAACTAGAGTTGGGACCCCGAAGTCGCGGCTCTCTTGCTACCCCCTCTTGTGTATCTTTCTGCAGCGCCAGGTCGTCTTTTATTACTTGTCCTAGCGGGCAGGCGAACAGTTCCAGGGTTGGCCATGAAGAGAGCCGCCCCCCGCCCTCCCGTCGTTGTAGTTCCTACCCCGCCTGCTTGCACATTGACCATCGTCAGAAATTGGTCCACGAGGGCTACGGCGACTGTCGGTGAAAAGCGATCAGACAAAATACTCGCGGCTTGCCCGAGCTTCTTCGTTACGTCGGCGTACAACACTTGTCTATCCTGGTCCGTGGGCCCCTTCTCCTTCAAGTCCAACAGGACCGTCTGCACCGTCTGGCTGCTCCCAACGAAAGACTTCCATCTCCCGCTGCATCCCCCCACCCCCTCTCCCTCTCCCTCTCCCGCCGCCCCGTCCACTTCTCTCGCAGCGTGGCGGTTGGATACGCACCCACCGAGGGCGGGCGACATCCGGCCAGTCCTGCTGCGGTGTTCCCCTCGCCTTTTCCGTCAGCCAGTGCTCGTGCAGGAGGCCTACGTGGAATCTGAATCGGGGGCTGTACATCATCGCCGCCCACACATGGCGACAAAATAGCCTGAGAGTTTGGAGTGTGCGGCACTGGCAGAGATGGCTACCGTCGGAAAAGAGCAAGACGAGGTAGTCGAAGGCCTTGTCATCACGCTGCTCGTGAATCCCGAAGACGTAAATGGCGTCGCAAAGCTTGTCCTCGATGTACTCGAACGTGCGCCCCGAAGCTGCCGCGCGTTCTGGTCCATCCACCTCCCCACCACCCATCTGGCAAAACGTGATGGCCGCGGTCATCTCTTGCTCCATGAACCGCCGCGGCCAGCCCGCGATGGAGAACTCGCAGGACTCGAGCACACTCTTGAAAGCGGTCGCTGGTGGAGCCGCCATCCGATTAGGCGGCAGATGGTCGATTGCGTCACGCAGCATGGCGGCATCCTTCTGGGAACAGATGATGCCCGAAAAGTACTTCGCCACGTCCAAAAGCGAGGAGCGCGAGTTGCACCTATCCCTGATGAGGGCGTTTTGGCCTGTTGTGTGTGCGGCGGACAAACACGCAAGAAGCGACACACAAACCAAACCGTAGGTTAGTGATTGGTGTCATCAGACATCGTTGAAGTCGCAGTACGCCAAACGACTGAAAGAGAAGCCTATGACTTGACGCACCCATCGCCACAGATGTATGTACACGTGAGCCGGACGATCGCAGTGCACCGACCAAGTACATCAATCCCGAACAACAGGGGCCGGACAACAGCCACATGTTTCGAAGAGGTCGTAAACATTAGCGTCATGTAGGGAGTTGTTTACTGGTCATCCACTGACGGCGTACGATAAATTCGTCCAGAAGCACTCACCAATGGCATAGTAAATAGGGGGCAAGGAAGATAGCCGCCCCCAACCCCTACAGACGTAGAAAAACTCCCAAAAACAACGACAACGCTATATGCGCTGTCGTTCTCGAACAAAACGCTCATGATGGCAGATGACGCATACACGCACCTTCAACTCTTGATGTCGTCCACGAACCCACGGAGAACACCAGGGGCGACACATATTCCGCCCACCGTGCACGGTCGTCATATACTACTTGCATGTACTTCTCCGCCTTCGGGTACTTTTCGATGAGGGCGTTGAACTTCCGTTCGAACTTCGCCAATGACAGCTGCTGACGCACACACCTGAACTCGTCCATGAAAGGCTGCGGAAAACACAAACGACGTGGGCCGGGTGGGTGTTGCGTGAGTTGGGGCCTTTGCGATATGGGCTACCGGTCTGTACGATTGACTGCCACCAACAACCCCGTACACTTCGTTAGCGCTAAGGCGAGACGAGGAGAGGGTTGAAAAAACTCAGCGACATACCATTGGTGCTTACAACCTGCTGCTGCTGCTGCTGCTTTTTCTGTGTGCACTGGACGTCGTGAGGTATGTTTCCGTCGAAGCCGAGGTCGTCTCCGCATCACGGTCTACGCAGAGACGCTGGATATCACTCTTCCAAGTAAGCGACACTGATCCATGACAACGCACCAACTCGCACAGGGGATACAAGCGGGAGTGGGGGAGGGGGGCTAGAGTGGGCAGCGTACGTCGCGCGACCAGGACAATACGAGAGGCCAGACTAACCACGCCAACACACACAGTAGAGCGCACCTTCATGTACCCACCAAGGACTTTAGCGAGGGCCTTGATAACGTTCTGGTTGAGGTGCCATAAATTGCGCCTCGCCAGCGCGTCCGGGAACACCTCTCGCACCGCCGCCGTCATCGCCGCGTCCGCGTCCTGGATGAAGGTATCCGGCTGCTTCCCGCGAGACTCCAACGCACTCTTCAACATCCACAGGAAAGTGTCCGTTGTGGTGTCGGCCGTTATGCTTTGGCCGACGATCCGCGTCCGATACTCCGAATCGACGACAGCGAGCACACCGAGAGGCATACGGTATCTGTTCTTGACAGCGGTGTCGTCGTAGAGCGCAACGTGACCGTACCGATTCCAAAGCGCCACCTGCGTATTCGGAGCATGACGTCGAAGGGGATCGAGAGCACTTAATTGTGGGTGTGACGTGTGTTGGACGCGTCACAACGCACCCCCACCCTTGCCTACGGCGTGCTTTCGGTCAGACGTCCTACATTTGCGGACGGCGAAGCGGTACGTGCGAGATGCTAAAATGAAAGCAAACCTTCCGGCTGGGGAATATTCGTATGGGGCACAACGACCGGCGACCTACCTGCTCTCTCGTTTGCCACCAGATGTGCGTCAGGCGGCCGCTGTCATCCATCTTGATCTCGCACACTCCGCCGTCGGCCGTGGCGGCCATGACCTGAAATTGCAACATGTTAAGCGCCCGGAAACATCGAGGGCATCAGCGCAAAACCACGACGACGGCACGGCACACATTTTTTACCTCCAACATTTCTTGGTTTGGTGTCATGGGGCATATATTCTCCCGGTTGTCACCTGCGATCGTAGGTGTCTTGTCGCCCGGATACCGCCTTGAGCAAAACC